AATGATATTTCCCTTTCTCCTTCTTCCTTCCTTTCCATTTTCTTTTAATTTTTGTGATAACATGTTTTATTTACTTGAAAGGCAGAGAGAGAGGGGGGATGAGGAGTGCAGATCAAAAAGGAGTGACTTTCCATGTGCTGATTCACTCCCTAAATGCCTTGCACTAGCTGGGGCTGGGTCAGGCTAAAGCTTGGAGCCAGGAACTCAATGTGGGTCTCCTACATGGGTGCCAGGGACCCAACTGTCTGAGCCATCACTTACTGCCTCCCAGGGTGTGCATTAGCAGGAAGCTGGAATTGACAGTACAGCTGGGATGAAACCAAGGCACATCAATAATATGGGATGCAGGTGTCCTGAGTACTGGCTTAACCCCCATGCCAAATGCCTGCCCTATAATCATTTTTATTCAGAGTCTAGTTTCTGATTATAGAAATGACGAATGAAGGAAGTGGCAGTCTGAAGTATACCTTCTAGGTTGGTGCTGCGGCTCACTTGGCTAATCCTCCACCTGTGGCCCTGGCACTCTGGGTTCTAGTCCCAGTTGCTCCTCTTCCAGTTCAGCTCTCTGCTGTGGCTGGGGAAGGCAGTGGAGGATGGCCCAGGTGCTTGGGCCCTGCACCCACATGGGAGACCAGGAGGAAGCTTCGGATTGGTGCAGCGCACTGGCCATGGCAGCCATTTGTGGGGTGAACCAACAGAAGGAAGACCTTTCTCTCTGTCTCTCTCTCTCTCACTGTCTAACTCTGCCTGTCAATAATAAATAAATAAAAATAAAAATATTTTTGAAGTATACCTTCTAGAGTGTTCTCACTAGTTACGCTTTAACTGTTCTGATTGGTGACTCTTTAGTGGGGTTGTCTGTCACTACCAGGATGGGGTTAAAGCAATTCCTTAAAGTGTTCTTGGGTCCTGAAAGGATGAGATTGTTGGTAGCAAGTACACTGGAGTTTGTGTGAGCAGTGATAGCTTTGATTTAGGGAGTTCTTTGAATATTAGGGCTAAGCTGATTCCTCAAATATACCTTTCCAGTGTCTCTAGTCTTGTACTATTCCTCAGAAGCCACTTTACCTCACACTTGCTGCTAGCACACTGATATCTTTACTGCATGCTTGCCAATTTTTGCCAATTCTTTCTCTTATCTGCATTCTTCTTTCTATGCCCTCTCTTTCTTCTGTTTTCCCTTATTTTTTCACCTTGTTACTTTTCCTTTTCCTTAACATGTGTTTTTCTTCATCTCTTAGTTTGTATTCATTTTCCATTTATTTGCAATAGAGTTATTCTATACATCTCTTTGATCTTGACCTTCTAGAATTTACATATTCCAGCTTGTGATTAAATTTGTCCTAAAAGTTTTAACGCATGGATTCAAGGAAATGAAAAGCATAATGAAAGGCTTGGGGAATGCATTCAAGTATTCATTAAATGAAGACACAGGGAAATTAAAAGTTTGGTTGTAAGTCTTCAGGGTATTTTTGATGCATCTTTCTAGTAGACATTGTTGTTAATTACATTGTTCTGCTAAGCCTCATTTGTGCTTATTTACCATCAGAGCTCAGAAACTTACTTTTTGGGAAGATTATCAGGTCAGGGACTATGGAAAAAAGCTAGAAGCATCATATACATTTTTTAAAAGATTTATGTATTTATTTGAAAGGCAGAGTTAGAGAGGCAGGGGCAGAGAGAGAGAGAGGTCTTCTATCCGCTGGTTCACTCCCCAAATGGCTACAATGGCTGGGGCTGTGCTGATCCAAAGCCAAGATCCAGGGCTTCTTCCAGGTCTCCCATGCAGGTGCAAGGGCTCAAGGACATGGGCCATCTTCTACTACTTTCCCAGGCCATAGCAGAGAGCTGGATCAGAAGTGGAGCAGCCGGGACTTGAACTGGAGCCCATATGGGATGCTGGCGCTGCAGGTGGCAGCTTTATCTGCTACACCATAGCACGGGCCCCCTTATATATTTATAATGCAGAGAACTCTTTGTGTATCATCAGCAAGTCTTTTGGGTTGTTACTATACTATCTCAATAGAAAGGAAAAGAGAAAATGTCCTTTATCAGTATAAAGCCAGAACATGTTTTGAGTCCTTTGTGTTCAGGAGGACTTAGAAGCAATGAGAAATCAGTATAAAACATAAAATATATATTTATAAAATATAAAATCAGTGTTCTGGAGTTTGCTTTTGCCTTAATATTAACTTACTAGCTTTGATGTTAAAAATCTTATTTGGCTTTAGTAATAAGTTCAGAGTAGAGATTTGTCAGTATAACAGATAAGAATCCCATTTTTACTTACTAAATAGTATTTGCCTAGGGAAATGGCTATATTTCAAGAGCATTTATTTATATTCCATTGCCACTGTGACGTCCATGGGTTAGGTGACTAATTCACACTATTCTCTATGATTTTTGTTTTGAAACATATACACTTAGGAGCTGATGTTTTAGTGTAGGCAGTTAAGGCACTGGCTACAATGCCAGTGTCCTATATGGGTGCTGGTTTGAGTACTGGCTGCTCTTCTTCTGATCCGGCTCCTTACTAATGACAACAGCAGAAGATCGCCCTAGTGCTTGGACCCCTGCATCCCAAGGGGGAGACCTGGATAAAGCTCCTGGCTGCAGCCTGGCTTAGACCTCGCTGTTGAAACCATTTAGGGGGTGAACCAGTGAATGGAAGATACATTCATTCATTCTCTCTCTCTCTCTCTCTCTCTCTCCTTCTCTTTCTGTAACTCTTTCAAATAAATAAATACATGTTTTTGTTTTTTATTTTTTAAGAAGAAAGATATACACTTAGCTGAAGTCCGGGAAGTAGTGGAAGGCAAGGTAGTGCCTGCAATACTTGTTCTAAAATCTTTTCTCCCCCTGGATGCCCCCCCCCTTTCCTTGGTGCCATCCATTTTCATTCTTTCTTTTGAGTTTTCATTTGTTCTTTGATTCACTCCTACAATTACTTAACAAATGTTTAAAGCATCTGCAGAGAACGTGCCAGGTGCTATTTTGGATGCTAGAGATTTGTGGGGAGGGGCCCAGGGGAATCAGCAAAAATGCCTACTTTCATGAAGCTTATGTTCTACTGAATAAGAGTGATAAGAAGGGGCTGGTGCTGTGGCATAACAGGCTAATCCTCCGCCCGTGATGCGGATATCCCGTATTGGTGCCTGTTCATGTCCTGGCTGCTTCTCTTCCAATCCAGCTCTCTGCTTATGACCTGATAAAGCAGTGGAAGAAGGCCTAAGTGCTTAGGCCCCTGTACCCATGTGGGAGACCTGGAAGAAGCTCCTGGTTCCTGCCTGCTGGCTCCTGGCTTTGGATGGACCCAGCTGCAGCCATTGTGGCCTTTTGGAGAGTTAACCAGAAAATGGTATATAATTATTATATATTATAATATATGTCATATATATGAGAGAGAGAGGGGTCTTCCATCCACTGATTCACTCCCTAGATGGCCACAGTGGTCGGAGCTGGGCCAATTTGAAGCCAGGAGCAGGAGCTTCTTCTGGGTCTCCCATGTGGGTGCAGGGGCCCAAGGACTTGGGCCATCTTCTACTGCTGTCCCAGGCCATAGCAGAGAGGTGGATCATAAGTGGAGCAGCTGGGACTCCAACCAGCACCCATAAGGATGCCAGCACTACAGGTGGCGGCTTTACGTGCTGCGCCCAGAGCCAGCCCTGACAGTGTAGTTTGGCAGTATGTTATACCAGTTAATCACCAAATTCCTTTCATTTTTCAGTAGCATTGCAACATGCATCAGCTGCAATGCCGCTAAATTTGGATTGTGAAAATGATTGTTGAGAATGACTGCTGTATCTTCTGCCTGGTGTCGGACCCGTGTGCCAATCAGGAGGAGCAAAGTGATGGGTTGGGTTTGGGACAAGGGAGCAATGTGACTGAGGCATTAATTCTGTTCATCACCTTGCCAACAACCACTTGGTTATGGGCCTTTGGTTTCTAACCTCTGAAATGAGGATAGACCGTATTAGCAATTTTCAGACTGGCCTCTGGGACACTGGAGATTCCTGAAAGCCCTGTCATTTTTATTTTTATGTTTTTAAATTTGCAGACAAGGATCATTTAGGAGATAGCAAATCCTGGACTTCGTTATCTTTTTGATTTTCTCACTTGATAAACTTGTTTTCTCACAGAATCTCTAATGACAGAGGCTAAAGGAACAAAATCCTTCCCTCATTACTCAGAGCTATTGGTGACAGTGTTCATTACTGTTTGTAGAAGTCAGGAGGTAATTTTTCAACAATCAGCTAAAGCAGCCAGCGCCGCGGCTCACTAGGCTAATCCTCCGCCTTGCGGTGCCGGCACACCGGGTTCTAGTCCTGGTCAGGGCGCCGGATTCTGTCCCGGTTGCCCCTCTTCCAGGCCAGCTCTCTGCTGTGGCCAGGGAGTGCAGTGGAGGATGGCCCAAGTACTTGGGCCCTGCACCCCATGGGAGACCAGGATAAGTACCTGGCTCCTGCCATCGGATCAGCACGGTGCGCCGGCCATGCCGGCCTTTGGAGGGTGAACCAATAGCAAAGGAAGACCTTTCTCTGTCTGTCTCTCTCTCTCACTGTCCACTCTGCCTGTCAAAAAACAAACAAACAAACAAAAAATAATCAGCTAAAGCTTTTGGGACCCTATCCTTCAAGATTGAGAAAGTGGCTTCTATCACAGCAGAGATTTTAAGTGCATAATAAAATATGAGTAAGTGAGAGTCTTAGGAATTGCTGGCACAATCTAGAAACTAGGAATCCAGAAAAATAATTGTGGTCAATATGTATTAGAAGTAATTCGATTTATGAAAATAACTAATGACACAAGTATGTTCCATTTGATGTGTTGTGTATCCTGAAAGGTACTCATATCCTTATAACCCAGTAGTATAATTGAAAGACTGATATTTTTGAAATGTATGGCTAAAAGTATACTTCAGTGAAATTTTGTTTTCTGACTGAGCAAATGGGAAAAATTATTGCTTAAGTTATTGACCGTCTGCTTCCTTTCTAATCCAGAATCTCAATCTGCTGTTTTGGAACCCCCGAATAAGTGTCCAGATGCTGTCCAGCAGGTAAGAAGATCTTGTTAAAATTCAGAACCCCCATCTCTGTCATTTGTCTTGGAATCACGACAGGATCTGTGATTTATGCCCCCATCTGTCCAGCTGGAGAGGTGGCCCTTACTTCCCAAAGTCTGCAGGAGATCCAGTCACACAGAAGGGGATATGTGTTCTTTCATTTATGTTTTGCAAAGAAAATCAGCCTTGAAGTGGAACTGAAAACAAGCTTTTCAGAAGCTGTATCATGCTATATCCAGCCAGAGTAGGACCCAACAGCAGCTGTCTCCAGCAGGAAACTCTGGCCACTTCCAGAGAAGTCTGTGCCGAGATTTGCCTGGTCGAATAGTCCCCTTGACACAATTAAGTGAAAATCTGTCATAGCTTTTCTAAAGTCAAATCAGATTTTAAGTTGCTCTGGTGAATGAAACATTAGTTCATGTATGTCTAGTTTCCATGGAGTCTTTTTTCTGTTACTTAAGGAAGCCAAATGCTGGTCTTTTTTTTTTTTTTTCTTTCTTCTTTCTTTTCCTTGTACCAATTTAGTATAAAAAATCTTAAAGGAAATGATTGTATGAAATAGTAGTTGTGGATAGCAACTGTTCTTTCTGATATAAAATTATTTGTTTATTCTTTCACACAACTATGCATTTGAAAATTAACTGATGCGTCTTCACAACATTTTTGGAAAACGTGCGTTGTGAGAAGGTGATGCATCGGTTTCGAATTGTTATGCACCAAAACAAACTTCTCTTTCACTTCCATTTTCCACAGACTTTTTGAAGTACCCTCATAGTATTAGAAATTGGCAGTAAGAAGTTGAGTGTGTACTATCAGGAAATGAGAAGATTCATACCTGGGTTCTACATCTAGGCCTGTTTCTGGTTAGTGATGACACACACTACCTGGGATATAGCATTCTTCTTTGTAAAATTTAGATTGATGATATTGAGAGCTCTCCAAGGCATTAAAAGAATTCCCTTGAAAAAAATTTTTTTTTCCCTGTATCATCCATGAAAGTTGTGCTCCCCCTAGAGGAGAAATGGGAATGTATAGTGACAAACAATGAGGGAGACATGTTACAGTCCTTGGGTGCTTTTCAAAAGTACTCCTAGATTGACCTTTATTATAAGAGTAAAGCTGTTGTTAAGGATAATATCACACAAAAGCAAGTTTTCCAGTTTATTTTATTTTTTTTTCAGAGAAGATGCTTGTGTCAACCGGGAACACTTAGAAGGGCAGCTAATTTTTATTTAATTAACTGCAGTCATTAACCAATAGTAGATAAGAGGAAAAAAGATAAAGAGAGGTAAAAACAGTTCATAAGGTCAGCAGTAATTAGGAAAAAATAGTACCCTCAAAATATCCTTTAGAACATCCTCTCTTTTTTTTTTTTTTGAGGCATAGCTAATTGTGACTGGAAAGAATTTTAATCAGGTTTTCTAAATTCTTGTATTCAAAGATTATAGAGCTGAAATCTTTGTTGTATATGATAATGCCAAAGAGAACAAAATAAAAATATTAGATAATATTGACAATGATAAAAGATGTATAGTCTTGCTCTATACATTAAGATTATAGCTGTACAATTTCAGGGTATACCAGTGTACCAGTATATACATGTGTGTGAAATTATACAGTGAATTTGTTTTTCTACTGTGAAATATATTGCATCAGTAGAAAACCTAATAGACAGGGTTATTTAAAATACCTGTACAATATCTTGGAGATTTAATGGTGAAACAGATAGAATAAATATCACATATTCTCCTTTCCTTGTTGATAAAGAAGTATCTAGATGCCAGAAAATATAATAACTCAATTGAGAGATAACAATATTTGGAAGAAATTGAAGTTAAACACTCATTAATGACATCTAAACTTACTTTTGGCATTATTGCTCTTTAACATCAATTGATTTTATGGGCCTTGAATGATATGGATATGATTCAGAAGCGCTGGCCATATGGGGGATATGTGGAACTAGAATTGATTTTGAACCTACTTTGTACCTATTCTTTTATAATAATACCTTATATAATCCTTAAAATAATCCTTTACAGTAATTATTATTTATCCTTAATTAGTAAAGAAATGTTTCTAGAAGTTAAAACTTTTATGTACTAAGAATCACAAAATTGGTAGTGCCAAGATTTGCACATAGGTCTGTTTGACTTTATTCCTTTATGATGATAAAGTTATACTTTATTATGGTAAAAATTGTGTTTTTACATAATGAATCACTCTATGACTAGTTACAAAAATATCATGCCAAAATTATCAGATGGATAAGAAGTTTATTTTAAAAGTTATTATAATTTCAACCTCCTTATACCTTTGAGTCATATATCAAGATTATTCTGTAAGCATGGAGGTATATTAGTTTGCCTATGCATTTTAAAGTTTTGCCATCTCTTTGTGCCAGATTGTATTGATTTTTATTAACTTTTGCGCTTCATAAAAAGCATGCAATTTTTCAGAGCACGTTGCTTTTTTCCTCTTAGACGCTAGATGGCAGCTCTGTATCTCTGTAAATTACCACTGCAGGCGGAATTGAGAGGTTTTAAGTGAGTATGCTCCTTATGAATGGTGTACACAAGAGGTTTTCTGGTCCATCCAATGCTGCCTACGTTATTCTGTGGTCATAATGCGAGATCCCCAGGACTGCTTGGTCAGAGGCATGCAGCAGAATTGGAAAGCATCCTCTAAGTTTTTCTTCAGATGTGTGTGCAGGCACCTGTTGTCTCAATCTGAGCACACTGGAATTTACTGAATGAATTTTGACTTTCACTCTTTTTCTGTAGTTAATAATTCTGAGTTCAATATCCCTAGAAAAAAACACATGACTCATAAAGCTTTTTCTCAACTAAGAGGAGTTGAAGGCTGTGGTGTTGCCAGTGTCTGAAGCTTAAAGGAAATGCAGCTGGCACCCAGGCAGAAAGAAAAAAAAAAGACTATAGCTGGTTTTTTTGAGTGCTTTTATTGATGATGCTATCAAATTGGGAGGCTTTAAAATGAAACTGCATTCTTTAGAGCTCACTTACTGATTATATTAAGTTAAAATAATATGCTCTGAAGAGTTATGTCATAAAACTGAAATAGAACTGCCTTTTGATTTTGTTTTTTATGCTTTGATATTTAAAACACTACTTAAACTGCAGACTCTTTTATACTATGTAGTACATAAAAGCTTGATATCAATTATTTTTAAGACTTATTTATTTGAGATACAGAGTTACAGAGAGAGGGAGAGACAGGCAGGTCTTCTATCTGCTGGTTCATGCTCTAAATGACCTCAATAAATGGAGCTGGGCCTGTCTGAAGCCAGGAGCCAGGAACTTCTTCCTGGTCTCACGTAGGTGTGGGAGCCAAGGCACTTGGGCTGTTTTCTACTGTTTTCTCAGGCCATCAGCAGGGAGCTGGATGGCAAATGGAGCAGCCTGGACTTGAACATGGGAAGCTGGCATTGCAGGCGGAGGCTTAACCTGCTACACCGCAACACTGGTTCCTCAATATCAATTATTTTTCTCTAAAAATATTTGCTTTTGAGTTGAAGATTGGCATGTGGTTGCATGTTTTACCTGGTTGCCACTCAGTTTTTAACTTATTCTTTACTTTAAAAATTATGAACAATTTTTTTGGTTTTGAAGCATTTTCCTAATACTCTTGATATCTTTCTAATGAACATGGGCTGCTTCAAAGGTGAATAAAATATATTTTTTATGTTAACAGACTCTACCTTTGAGTAAGATTCAACAATATCAGGCAATCAAAAATAATCTGTATACATTTTAATATTTATCAGTTATGAATAGCTACATATATTACAGTGTTATAATGAAAAAATTAAGCAGTATCAGCATTGTCTCCCCCTATATATTGTAAGACTGTATGTAAATAGATTCTCAAATTTTAGAAAAATGCTTTGCTCTAATCAGTCCTATTAGGTTCCCTCAATGCCTAATGTGAGTGCAAACTTAGAAGAATTCTATATTTTTTCCATTGGATCTATATCTCCTGTAGCGTTCTTTATGCAATGACCATTCAGTATAATTTATTAGTCAGAAATCTTCATTAGGAACAAATCAAGGAAGCAGATATGGTTAGTAAACATTATCATTGTTGATGGTTCATGACAGTAAGTCTCGGAATAGACAAATTTGAAGAATAAAAGAGGCATTGGTCAAAGCAGAAGAAGAGTATGAGGTGAGGATAATTTTGGAGGAATAGTGATGGACACTTACACAGAAAATCCATTTGAATTGGAGTGGAAGGTATAGGACATATGGAAGGGTAGAGAAAGAACTTGTTTACTCTGTGGTCCTCAGCTTGAGCAAAAGATAATACAGGCTGCACATCCCTAATCTGAAATGCTTCAAAATCCAAAACTTTGAGTCCCAACATTATATGACAAGTAGAAAATTCCATACAATGAAACTTTGTTTCATGCACAAAATTACTAAAAATATTGTCTAAAATTGCCTTCAGGGTCTGTGTATAAGATGTAAGTGAAATATACATGAATTTTTTGTTTAGGTTCAAGTCTCATTCCCAAGATACTTCATCATGTATTCATATATGTGAATATTCCAAAATCTGGAAAAGTCTTAAATCCAAAATACTTTTGGTCCCAAACATTTCAAATAAGGGATATTTAAGGTGTATGAGTTTACAAGGTGATTGAAAGCCAAAGAAGAAAAGTAATAGTCTACAAAACAGATGAAACATCAACAGACTAAGAAAAGCAGGACTTAACGGAGTGGGGAGAGGGTTACCTGGGTTCTAAAAACCATGGGGTACTCATTCTTGACATCTGCCTCAGTGTCTGATTATTCTTAGGTGCTCCATAAACACTTTGACAAATAGAGTCTGGGAGGGGCACGTGAGATGGTTAGGAAGGAAGATGGTAAGGATACCCTTGTGGAGACTCTGACTTTAAAAATGGGTAACATTTTTTTCCCCAAGGAGTTTACCATACCGTGTCAAGGGAAAGAGAAAGAACATTTAAAAAAAAA